ATTGACACATGATCTCTGATTGGTGACTGATGGATGTCTTGGGCTGCACTTCGAGCTTCGAATTCCTCGGGAGGCTTCACCGCACGCGGGACCAGACATCACGCCACAAGACGTTCTGCTTGATTTGGACTGCTTCCCTCTTAGCAACACAAAAACGGGCTTTGTCTTGAGAAGGAGGGGACCGGCCAAAATGGCCTGTTTCATTTTACTCTCTGTTTGAAACCAAAACGGGGGTTCCGCCAAGGAATCGCAGCCCCTGATTCGCATTTCCGACTGGACTTCAAAGGATTGCAGTGAAGACGGTGCAGCAATGTTGTGTTTGTGATGTGTGTTTGTGTCATATTTTTCATGTGTGTTTGATGTGTGTGTGTGGTGTGTCTTTGTTTGTGTGTTTGTTTGATTGTTTGTTTGCTTGCTTGATCTTGCTTGCTTGCGTGCGTGCGTGCGTGCGTGCGTGCGTGCTTGCTTGCTTGCTTGCTTGCTTGCTTGCTTGCTTGCTTGCTTGCTTGCTTATTTGCCGATTTGCCAAGGTGTATATATGTATGTTTGTTTGTGTATTTGTTTGTTTGCTTCTTTGCGTGTTTGTCTTTGCGTGTTTGTGTGTTTGGCTGCTGGCTGGCTGGGTCGCTCGCTCGCTTGCTTGCTTGTGTGCTTGTGTGCTTGTGTGCTTGTGTGCTTGTGTGCTTGTGTGCTTGCTTGTTTGCTTGCTTGCTTGCTTGCTTGCTTGCTTGCTTGTTCGTTTGGTTGTTTGTTTGCGTGTTTGTTTGTTTCTTTAATTTGTTGTTTGTTTGCTTCTTTGCGCGTTTGTCTTTGCGTGTTTGTGTGTTTGGTTGCTGGCTGGCTGGGTTGCTCGCTCGCTTGCTTGTGTGCTTGTGTGCGTGCTTGCTTGTTTGCTTGCTTGCTTGCTTGCTTGTTTGTTTGTCTTTTTTGGGTTTGTGTTTGTTTATTTGTTTTTTTTGGTTGTTTGTTTGTTTGTTTGTTTGTTTGTTTGTTTGTTTGTTTAATTGGTTGTGTGTTTGCTTCTTTGTGCGTGTGTCTTTGTGTGTTTGTTTGTTTGGTTGTGGGTCGCTCGCTCGCTTGCTTGCTTGTGTGCTTGTGTGCTTGTGTGTGTGCTTGCCTGCCTACCTGCCTGCCCGTCCGTCTGTTTGCCTGTCTGTCTGTCTGTCTGTTTGTTTGTTTGTTTTTTGCTTGTGTGTTTGTTTGTTTGTGTGTTTGTTTGTTCTCTTGTTTTTTTTGGTGTGCGTGTTTGTTTCTGTGTTTGTTGTTTTGCTAGCTTCGTTTGTCCGTTCAGCTGTGCGCTTGCTTCTGTGTTTTTCTTTCCACTTTCCACTTTCCTTGTCTCTTTGCTTGTGTTCCTGGCTTTGTTATTTATGTGTCTTCTTTTTGCCGCGGATTCAGCTTTACGGATAGAAAACTTGGTGGTTTCGTGGCCTTCTCCAGTTGTTCAGTGGTTTCCTTCTTGCCTTTTCGTCTAGTGAAGGGTTCCAAGAGGTAGCTGGCAAAAGTTGCCGCGGGGTACGGCAGGGCCAACGAAACTGACACTCGGGCAAGACACCCGTGAGACGCAAATCACAATGGCACGGCGACGCAAACGCTCAATCTTTTAAAGTACTGCGCCTGCGCAGCGAAACGATACGCGGCGTCTCAAAAGCCACGACGCGCGCAACGAAAACAACATGTAACACATCGCGCATTCTGAGCGACATCATTCTGGCGCCGCACTCCCGTGCTAGTTTCTGACACGTGTCGTAAACGTGTCAAAGTTGGATTTCGTGACAGGCACAGTACTTGGAGCTCTGTTTGCGTCGTCTGCAGCTTACCTTAAAGCGCTGTGATCGACTTTCGCTGGCAGGCGCAACGCTTTTCGGGCGCAGCACTTTGGAGAGTCGTGCGTTGAATTTTGTGGTAGGCGAGCGCTTTGGAGCACGTTTCACCGGAGCTTGGTTTGCCTGGCGGGCACAGTGCTTTTGAGGGTCACGTGCTGATTTCGTTGCAGGCTCAGCGCTTGGAGCACAGAGTGCTGATTTCGTGGCCGGCGCATGACTTTGTAGGGCTGCGCGTGGAATGTCAGGAGAGCGCAGCTCTTTCGAGCACAAGTAATTAGCAGGAGTGTTGAGAGATAGAATGCTAGACAGGCAGACAGATCGATAGATAGAGAGAGAGACAGCAGAGAGATAGACGGAGTCTGCATTCGGAATCGTTGCTTTTATCAGATTTTTGAGTAGGAACAGCATAATGCCCTCCAAAGTCCCCAAGTAAAATTCACACCCAAATCTGATCAGCCCCGACAAACCATTGGTTCCCTGAGCCACCGGGCATGGCGTGTAGCTGACTCTCGGACCATTGTGTCCTGCCAGAACTTTGTGGCGCACGCCATTGACAAGTCTCTCCGGCAGAATTTTGCGACGGAAGTAGGGGCGGGGGAATCAGAATCTGCCCAGTCTCGAAGCCAAGTCAGAAATATAGACATATGTTTATGTGTATATATACCATTGCTTATTCACCCCTTTCGTGCGATTTCAACATCATGCTTCGGGCCATTTCAAATCGAGTTTCTTTGGCGGGGCAGTTCCGCAGCAAGTGTTCCTTTGGTATCTGGAATGCTGTCATCTTCTAGGATGCCCCAAACCAGCACTTTTCACACCGCATGTCAACCAGCTGTGCTCGGCGGCAACTGCCAAGGTAGCAGACTGCATAGACATTGTGCGCCGAGAATTCATTCAACGCACACCAGCAGTGCCAACAAGTGAAAGTATATTTTGCTACAATGGTTGCAATATTGGCCCCTATCAAAAACCGTTCCAAGACAAGGGGGTTCCCTGGCTTGGCACCGTCCGGCGAGTCCGGATGTCGTGTGATTGCCAGGTTGCGCGTGGGGGAGCCCAGGCATACTGCCAGAGACGTGTTCAGCCTCAAACGGGGAACACAACAAGCTTGCGCCAATTGAGCCGTGGTCCGTGGTGTTTTTTCGACTTTTGCTGATGGGGAACCTGGCGAATTCGTCGCCTCTCAGGTCTTTGGCCGCGGCCACACGGCGCCAGTGGCACGGGCACCCAGGCTTGCAACCGGACTGGACACACTGGAAGCTCTGGGTCGCTCCGGTCTATTCATCATGTTGGTTTAGTGTTTTGCACTTGCTTCAAGTGAACTAATAACTAATATGACAGTTGTTCTTTCTTTTTTTCTGAGAAACACAGGTTGTAGCCTTTGGTTGGGCCCGGGAAAGGGAAGACCTGGATTTGGAACTCATCATTGTTTGGCATATTGTGTAAATGCTGGTTTCAAAAGGATGGCTAGGGATGTGTGTGTGTGTGTGTTTGCCGCCTTGCAACTGAAAGCGGGACAAGGCGGGCCCAGGATGTCTGGCTGAAAAACGGCGTCGCCATGTGACAGCGGATGCATTTTGGCGGGGCCTTGTAGAATCATAGGAACTAGCTACGGAAATGCTACCGGAAATTTGCACAGCCCCGTGTTTCAAGTGGGTGCTTGGCGACTATTCCGGTTGAATTTCCAGGAGTGTCCTTTTTTTTTTGCTAGAATCAACCAAACAAATCTTTGTTGGAGGTCTTCAAGCCCCCAAAAAAGGAACAGAAAAAGATCGCAAAATGAAGCTAAGTGATGGGTTCAAGGGAAACAACCTCAGCAGCTGAGGATGAGGGCAACGAGAGCCCTGCTGCCCCAGGGCAAAATGAGCGGGTTATGATCTGAAGCGAAGCACGCGAGGAGTGGTGACCTGGTTTCTCAAGTGCCAGTCAGATCCCAAGGCTCACGGCCACGTAGGTGGCCATGTTGGGCAGATCAAACTCCTCACTCTGCAAGAGTCACGTGGAGATGCTTGCTATCTGCAAGTTTTCCAAAAACTGCTGCCAGCAAAGATGGCACGCAAATTCGCTGACCCGGACGGTCATTTTTCACTTGCAAACTTGCATTTCGAAGGAAAGCTTACTGTGAACTGACAGGGGCAACATGCTCCTGACCTCGTGTTTTTTTTCTTGGGCAACCGACCACTGACTGGTCGCCGAGACGGATCCCAATTGCTACCTTATACTAAAAAGATGATATAAACACAATGACGAATACACAATATAATGGTTATAATAACAAACAAAAACCATCTTTTTCAATTTATTTTTTTTGTTTTCAATATAATATATAAGTTACGGATAGGGTTTTATAAAAAAAAAATGTTATATGATATATATTTATTTATACACATATTGATTAGAATGATATTAGGTAATATAAATATAGATTTTAATATAATTTATATATTAGATTTGAATTTTGAAATTAGATATGAAATTATATATATATTAGATATATATTATTTAAATTATTTGGAATTTTTGAAATGAATTTTATATATTAAATTTGATATTTTTTTAAAAATGATTTATATATTTATATTATTTAAATTAAATGTTATTATAAAATTATGATTTTGGAATTAGGTTTATGAGAATTATATTATTGATTTGGAATTGTAGAAATATATTTTATTTATTTGATTTATATTATAAAATTGAAATAATGAATTTGGAATTTTGTTTTTTTTTAAAAAAAAATGAAATTATAATTATATATTTGGAATTTTAAATTTAAATATTAGAATTATTATAAATTTATTATTATTATTTGAGGCAATTGTTCGTTCGCTATATTGTTCTCTTTTTATTTGTATTTCGTTATAGATTTTATTTTCAGATCTTAGCCCGGGCTAGCGATTCTCTTTTCTGTCGTAGATTATATTTTTCTTCGTTAGGTATATTATTTTATGCTGACATATATTTCGTTATAGATTTAACCCTAGCCCGGGCTAACGATCCCCTTTTTTGTCGTAGCTTGGCTTATGTTAAATAGTTGCAATTAAGTTGGAGCTGCCTTGTCGTAGATCTCGTTGTATGCCGTTATATAGTGATAGCTAGGCTAGCCATGGCTTGGCTTTGTGTCGGCAATTTGGAGCTGCGAAGGCGTGTTTTGTATATTGTTTGTATTTAAGAATTGTGACGTTCGAAGAAATTATTGTTTTTCTTAGTCTGCGCTATATCGTGCTATTAAGATTAATATTTCATTAATATTTTTTTTTCCGACACAGATTTATAAAAATTCGTTACAGACCTCCGTAACAAGATTCGGTGCGTATCGCTCCTCAAAAAATCCTACCCCTTTGTTACAAAATTATGATTTTTAAATTAGAACGAATTTGTACATATAAATTTTCGAGTTAGTTTTCAATCTAGAATTATGAAAATATAAAATTATAAATGGTATATTAATAATATATATTAAGAAATTACAAATCTTTATTTGGAGTTATAAGAATAATATTTATGTATTAGAATTATATTGTTAATATAAAATATTCGAATTATATTTATAAAAATATTTAAGCCGCATAACGCGATATATGCAGAAAAATACTAAAAAACCATAAAATGTCCACCAAAAATTAAAAACATAAACAAAATAATTTTAACAATAATATATATATCAAATTAATATAATGCAAAATAAATGTTTTTAAAATATATTATTTTCATAATTAATATATATATAATAAAAAATTATCATAAATATCAAATATTAATTAATTTCTCAATATAAAATTATTACAAATTCTAAAATATAAATAATATATTTAACCAATCAATAATTAATCCTAATATAATATCCAATATATAATTAAAATTACATAATATTATTATATATCTATTACAAAATATAAAATATTATTTTAATATATCCAAAATATATCTAAATCATATCCAAAATAATATTAATAATAATTTAACACCAACACCTTTTACCATTGCCTTCTCTGTTTAACACCGAATATCAATAACAAACAAATAACAATCTTGCCGGCCAAATATAACAAACTAAACGCAATATTGTGTCCTAAAAATCATTCCCTTACCTAGTATTTTTTTCCCGTAATAGACATGGGAAAATACATATAATATAAAGAACACAAACATAAATAACATAGAATCGCAACAAATACAAATACAAATGGCGAACAAAGAAAAAACAAGCCGAAGCCGCTAAAAACAAACAAACCAAAACCGAGACAAACACAAACAAACAAACACAAATAGACGTGCCAAGGGACACAAACAAAAATAAACGAACAAACACAAACAAACACAAACAAACACAAACGAACAAACAAACGCAGACAAACAACGACAAAGACATGGACACATGTTTAGATTAAGACCTGGTTGGATAGAGACAGACAGAGAGACACAAACACCAACAGAAAAAAATAAAAGAAAAAAAGAAAACAGACAAAGATGGACAAAGATAGACAAAGGTAAAGAGAGATGCACAGACATTGAAAATGACAGACAAGCACAAAGACAGATAGAGAGCCAGGCAGACAAAGACAAGCATAATAAACATGGCATATCACAAAGAAATAAACATAAAGCAAGCAAACAAACATAATATTTAATTTATCAGATATATCAATACACATACGTATGTACAAACAAAGAACAACCAACAAACACAGGCACTAACGCACTCTTCATTCCCAACCAAAGTAGACAGACATACCAGTTGGGCATCGAATCAATGAATTTAAATGTGGGTTAGTATTGTATGGGCTAGTACTTGTGAAACAAGTCCCGTAAGAAATTGGCTGGCGTCATACTGGTTTAGACAGCCTTGTTCCAGTGGGGGGAGTTTAGGGTTTAGAGACACAAGTGATCTGTAATAAGTTCATAAGGGGCGCCACTATGAATCCAGGCATCTTTTAAAGTCGTATGTCCAGCTCTCAATTTGAGGCCGTGGAATTAGCCTTTCAAAATGCCAAGCTCCCCTGGAAGCTGTGACAGGGAAAGAAGGCATGTACGAAAGCATCGGCCAGGCAGCGGGCGGTGGCTCGGTCGATTTTGAGGGTAGCTTTTCCAGGTTGGTCACAAGGGAAACCAAAAGGAAAAGCGTAACTTTTAGGGGATCCCCAATTGAACACTCGCCCAGGCCCCTAATAATTTGAATTTCGGGGCGAAAGGGGGGGGGTGGGCTCAATGAAACCAAATCAAGTCAGGATCATAGGAGCACTGTGTGATTAATCATTCTTGCCAAGTGGCCAGGGGAAAGGACTTGAAAACTTGTTTGGTTGACGAATGGAACCCAAGGCAAACCAATAACAGCAAGGACATCCAAATAGCATGTCAGTGAGCCTGGCCCCAAAATGCAAAGTCTGTCGAGGGAACAACTGGCCGCTTCCTGCTCCGTTTGGTTTCCTGGGGGCGGGGACGCCTCCGCCTCAAAGCCAACTTTTCCCCTACCCTGGCTGTGGGAAGAACAACAGAACGCGGACTGCCTGATGCCAAAATTCTGGCCCAACTTGCTCGCCATGTGTTTGCCAATCATCGCAGGAGTCAGACATAATTGAACTTGCTGAAAAGGTAGCCATGGTTTTGCCCCAAGTGGAATGACAATTTGCCACTTCAGCAGGTAAGCCAACCACAAAGAGTGTCCATTGACTACTTTTTGGGGTTCATCATTTTAGTGAGGAACCCAAAGAGAAAGGGACTTCCCCACAAAAAAGAAGGGCCCAAAAGGAGAGACATCTAAAACAACCGCATTTTTCGTTCAGCAACCCGCCTCCCGCTTCCACGCCGCAACCACCGGCCAGAAAGGGCTAAACAAACATGAAGTCCCCGAGGCCAGTAAGGCCTGAAATCGGTGGAAAGGGACTTAGCCCTTTCCATCGCTGCCCACGTCTTTGTGTGGTATGCTGACATGTATTTCTATAATATGAAGATATCTATATACACACATACTGATCTGTGCATTTAGGTGCGCACGCCCGCGCACACGCACACGGACAAATAGACAAACACACAAACTTCGGGGAACCCGAACTCATCCATCTCTTGCGTTGAAACATCAAGATTCTGGGCAGATAGGGGCTACCAAGCCCCCGAGGGACTTAAGAAACTTTCAAAGTTCAGAATGTCCTGAGGGACCAAGGCAAGTGCCTGCAGGCGCCCTTTGGCCTGCCGCCATATAGCCGCAAACGGACTCGGAGGGAAATCATTCGCGCCCGTCCGGCCGTGCCATAACCCAAAGAAAGGCATGGGAATGTCGGCTCCCTAGGTGTCTTTAGACGGAAGCAAACCGGTACCCGCAGAATCCCATCTTCTTCACCGAGTTCTTCACAGAGATGGACCAAAAAGGACACCTATACTCGGCTCACAGGACCAAAAGTTGTCGTATCCGGGAGAGTTCTTTCGTGTGTTCCGAGGGCCACAAGTGCCCACGAGTCCGAGTGCCTGTGGCTTGAGGGCAAAACCTGCTTACCTTTGGAGACAACCCTTAATGCTGGCAATGTAATGCAAAGCTTACACATCTATTCACCACCGCCCTTGTGGCACATAGTGCTTCCATGTTTGATTTTAGGCCACCGGCGTTTTGCATTCTCGGTGCTACATAGGGGGTCTGGAAAGAAGCAATACCCGCGTGTGGTGTTCCCTTGCGTAAACACTACAAGACTTGGGGTTGCTATTGATCGCACTCAGTTTGCCTGTGTTACATTGTGGTTCCCCTGCAAGCCTGGGGTACAAACATGGAACCCTGCTTGAACATGTTAAAAGAACTCAATCGAAAAGAGGAGCTGCTGAATTGGGGCTACCATGGTTACTTTCCGCTTTAGGGTGGCCCTTTCCACCGTCACTCAGCCAAATGCGGGCACAGGGTGCGAGCTAAACAAGGCGTGTGGAAAATGAGCAACACTCGGCGACCAAAGCTGGTCAAGACAAGGCAAGTCAGAGCACGGATTCTGATAGCCGCTGGGCCCGAAAGGTATGGGCTAAGCCGGATGCGTTTTTGGGAGGTTACTATTGCGACTGTTTGGGGGTCATCCATGGAAGGTGTGTTCAATCTGAACTGAACTGGAGACAATTTGGTGGACATCCCCTTTAGGGATATACTGTATATCCCTAAAGGGGATATACAACCATATCTGGTGAGCTTCTCCATTGCAAATGATATCTACATCGCATAAGTTGAAATGCATAGCCCCGCGTGCTCGTGG